AGGATCTGGTTCTCTATTGGTCCAGTGTTCTGTTTCGTTGGTTCTGGTTCACTATTGTTCCGAAGTTCTGTTTCGTAGGTTCTGGTTCTCTTTTGGTCCAGTGTTCTGTTTCTTGGGTTCTGTTTCACTATTGGTCTAGTGTTCTGTTTCGTGGGTTCTGGTTCACTATTGGTCCGAAGTTCTGTATCGTGGTTTCTGGTTCACTATTGGTCCGGACTTCTGTTTCGTGGGTTCTGATTCACTATTGGTCCGATGTCTGTTTCGTGGGTTCTGGGTCATTATTGGTCCGAAGTTCTGTATCGTGGTTTCTGGTTCACTATTGGTCCGATGTCTGTTTCGTGGGTTCTGGGTCATTATTGGTCCGAAGTTCTGTTTCGTATGTTCTGGTTCTCTTTTGGTCCAGTGTTCTGTTTATTGGGTTCTGTTTCACTATTGGTCTAGTGTTCTGTTTCGTGGGCTCTGGTTCACTATTGGTCCGAATTTCTGTTTCGTGGGTTCTGGGTCACTATTGGTCCGAAGTTCTCTTTCGTGGGTTCTGGTTCACTATTGTTCCGCAGTTCTGTTTCGTGGGATCTGGTTCACTATTGGTCCGAATTTCTGTTTCGTGGGTTCTGGTTCACTTTTGGTCCGAAGTTCTGTTTCGTGGGTTCTGGTTCTTTATTGGTCCAGTGTTCTGTTTCTTGGGTTCTGGTTCACTATTGGTCGAGTGTTCTGTTTCGGGGGTTCTTGTTCACTATTGGTCCAGTGTTCTGTTTCGTGGGTTCTGGTTCTTTATTGGTCCAGTGTTCTGTTTCTTGGGTTTTGGTTCACTATTGGTCCAGTGTTCTGTTTCGGGGGTTCTTGTTCACTATTGGTCCAGTGTTCTGTTTTGTGAGTTCTGGTTCACTATTGGTCCGAAGTTCTGTTTCGTCGGTTCTGGTTCACTATTGGTCGGAAGTTCGGTTTCATGGGTTCTGGTTCACTATTGGTCCGAAATTCTGTTCCGTGGGTTCTGGTTCACTATTGGTCCGATGTCTGTTTCGTGGGTTCTGGTTCACTATTGGTCCGAAGTTCTGTTTCATGGGTTCTGGTTCACTATTGGTCCGAAGTTCTGTTTCGTGGCTTTTGGTTCACTATTGGTCCAGTGTTCTGTTTCGGGGGTTCTGGGTCACTATTGGTCCGAAGTTCTGTTTCATGGGTTCTGGTTCACTATTGGTCCGAAGTTCTGTTTCGTGGCTTTTGGTTCACTATTGGTCCAGTGTTCTGTTTCGTGGGTTCTGGGTCATTATTGGTCCGAAGTTCTGTTTCGTGGGATCTGGTTCGCTATTGGTCCAGTGTTCTGTTACGTGGGTTCTGGTTCACTATTGGCCCAGTGTTCTGTGTCGTGGGTTCTGATTCACTATTGGTCCGAACTTCTGTTTCGTGGGTTCTGGTTCACTATTGGTCGAGTGTTCTGTTTCGTGGGTTCTGGTTCACTATTGGTCCAGTGTTCTGTTTCGTGGGTTCTGGTTCACTATTGGTCCAGTGTTCTGTTTCGTGGATTCTGGTTCTCTATTGGTCCAGTGTTCTGTTTCTTGGGTTCTGGTTCACTATTGGTCCAGTGTTCTGTTTCGTTGGTTCTGGTTCGCTATTGGTCCAGTGTTCTGTTTCGTGGGTTCTGGTTCACTATTGTTCCGAAGTTCTGTTTCGTAGGTTCTGGTTCTCTTTTGGTCCAGTGTTCTGTTTCTTGGGTTCTGGTTCACTATTGGTCCAGTGTTCTGTTACGTGGGGTCTGGTTCACTATTGGTCTTTGGTCCGAAGTTCTGTTTCGTAGGTTCTGGTTCGCTTTTGGTCCAGTGTTCTGTCCCGTGGGTTCTGGTTCACTATTGTTCCGAAGATCTGTTTCGTAGGTTCTGGTTCGCTTTTGGTCCAGTGTTCTGTTTCTTTGGTTCTGGTTCACTATTGGGCCAGTGTTCTGTTTCGTTGATTCTGGTTCGCTATTGGGCCAGTGTTCTGTGTCGTGGGTTCTGGTTCACTATTGGTCCGAAGTTCTGTTTCGTGGGATCTGGTTTGCTATTGGTCCAGTGTTCTGTTACGTGGGTTCTGGTTCACTATTGGTTCGAAGTTCTGTTGATTACCTATACTGTAATTAGTTACGTATACTGTAATTGGTTACGTATACTATAATTGGTTACGTATGCTGTACCTGATTACGTGTACTGTAATTAGTTACGTATACTGTAATTGATTACCTATACTGTCATTATTTACGTATACTATAATTGGTTACGTATGCTGTACCTGATTACGTGTACTGTAATTAGTTACGTATACTATAATTTCTGGTTCACTATTGGTTCGAAGTTCTGTTGATTACCTATACTGTAATTAGTTACGTGTACAGAAATTGGTTACGTATACTGTACTTGGTTACGTATACTGTAATTAGTTACGTATACTGTAATTGGTTACGTATACTATAATTGGTTACGTATGCTGTACCTGATTACGTGTACTGTAATTAGTTACGTATACTGTAATTGATTACCTATACTGTCATTATTTACGTATACTATAATTGGTTACGTATGCTGTACCTGATTACGTGTACTGTAATTAGTTACGTATACTGTAACTGGTTGTTCTGTTTCGTTGGTTCTGGTTCACTATTGGTCCAAACTTCTGTTTCGTGGGTTCTGGTTCACCATTGGTCCGAAGTTCTGTTTCGTGGGCTCTGGTTCACTATTGGTCCGAAGGTCTGTTTCGTGGGTTCTGGTTCATTATTGGTCCGAAGTTCTGTTTCATGGGTTCTGGTTCACTATTGGTCCAAAGTTCTGTTTCGGCGGTTCTGGTTCACTATTGGTCCGGAGTTCTGTTTCGTGGGATCTGGTTTGCTATTTGTCCAGTGTTCTGTTCCGTGGGTTCTGGTTCACTATTGGTTCGAAGTTCTGTTGATTACCTATACTGTGATTAGTTACGTGTACAGAAATTGGTTACGGATACTGTACTCAGTTACGTATACTGTACTTGGTTACGTATACTGTAATTAGTTACGTATACTGTAATTGGTTACGTATACTGTAATTGATTACCTATACTGTCATTATTTACGTATACTATAATTGGTTACGTATGCTGTACCTGATTACGTGTACTGTAATTAGTTACGTATACTGTAATTGATTACCTATACTGTAATTAGTTACGTATACTGTAATTGATTACCTATACTGTCATTATTTACGTATACTATAATTGGTTACGTATGCTGTACCTGATTACGTGTACTGTAATTAGTTACGTATACTATAATTTCTGGTTCACTATTGGTTCGAAGTTCTGTTGATTACCTATACTGTAATTAGTTACGTATACTGTAATTGATTACCTATACTGTCATTATTTACGTATACTATAATTGGTTACGTATGCTGTACCTGATTACGTGTACTATAATCCGAACTTCTGTTACGTGGGTTCTGGTTCACTATTTGTCCAGTGTTCTGTGTCGTGGGTTCTGGTTCACTATTGGTTCGAAGTTCTGTTGATTACCTATACTGTAATTAGTTACGTATACTGTAATTGGTAACCTATACTGTAATTAGTTACGTGTACAGAAATTGGTTACGGATACTGTACTCAGTTACGTATCCTGTACTTGGTTACGTATACTGTAATTAGTTACGTATACTATAATTTCTGGTTCACTATTGGTTCGAAGTTCTGTTGATTACCTTTCGTGGGTTCTGGTTCACTATTAGTCCAGTGTTCTGTTTCGTGGGTCCTGGGTCACTATTGGTCCGAAGTTCTGTTTTCACTATTGGTCCAGTGTTCTGGTTCTTGGGTTCTGGTTCACTATTGGTCTTTGGTCCGAAGTTCTGTTTCGTGGGTTCTGGTCCAGTGTTCTGTTTCGTGGGATCTGGGTCACTATTGGTCCGAAGTTCTGTTTCATTGGTTCTGGTTCACTATTGGTTCGAAGTTCTGTTGATTACCTATACTGTGATTAGTTACGTGTACAGAAATTGGTTACGGATACTGTACTCAGTTACGTATCCTGTACTTGGTTACGTATACTGTAATTAGTTACGTATACTGTAATTGGTAACCTATACTGTAATTAGTTACGTATACTGTAATTGGTAACCTATACTGTAATTAGTTACGTATACTGTAATTGGTTACGTTGGTCCAGTGTTCTGTTTCGTGTGTTCTGGTTCACTATTGGTCCGATGTTCTGTTTCGTGGGTTCTGGTCCAGTGTTCTGTTTCGTGGGATCTGGGTCACTATTGGTCCGAAGTTCTGTTTTCACTATTGGTCCAGTGTTCTGCTTCGTGGGTTCTGGTTCACTATTGGTCCGAAGTTCTGTTTCATTGGTTCTGGTTCACTATTGGTTCGAAGTTCTGTTGATTACCTATACTGTAATTAGTTACGTGTACAGAAATTGGTTACGTATACTGTACTTAGTTACGTATACTGTAATTGGTTACGTATACTGTAATTGGTTACGTAAACTGTAATTTTTGACGCATACTTTAAATGGTTACGTATACTGTAAGTAGTTACGTGTACTGTAAATGATTACGTATACTGTTATTGGTAACGTATATTGTAAATGGTTTCGTATACTGTACTTGGTAACGTATACTTTAATTAGTTACGTATACTGTAATTGGTTACGTATACAGTAATTGATTACCTTTACTGCACTTAGTTACGTATACTGTACATAGTTACGTATACTGTAATTGATTACCTATACTGTAATTAGTTACGTATACTGTAATTGTGGGTTCTGGTTCACTATTGGTCTAGTGTTCCGTTTCGTGGGTTCTGGTTCACATTTGGTCCAGTGTTCTGTTTCGTGGGTTCTGGTTCACTATTGGTCCAGTGTTCTGTTCTGTGGGTTATGGTTTACTATTAGTCCAGTGTTTTGTTTCGTGGGTTCTGGTTCACTATTGGTCCGAAGTTCTGTTTCGTGGGTTCTGGTTCTCTATTGGTCCAGTGTTCTGTGTCGTGGGTTCTGGTTCACTATTGGTCCGAAGTTCTGTTTCGTGGGTTCTGGTTCACTATTGGTCCGAAGTTCTGTTTCATTGGTTCTGGTTCACTATTGGTTCGAAGTTCTGTTGATTACCTATACTGTAATTAGTTACGTGTACAGAAATTGGTTACGTATACTGTACTTAGTTACGTATACTGTAATTGGTTACGTATACTGTAATTGGTTACGTAAACTGTAATTTTTGACGCATACTTTAAATGGTTACGTATACTGTAAGTAGTTACGTGTACTGTAAATGATTACGTATACTGTTATTGGTAACGTATATTGTAAATGGTTTCGTATACTGTACTTGGTAACGTATACTTTAATTAGTTACGTATACTGTAATTGGTTACGTATACAGTAATTGATTACCTTTACTGCACTTAGTTACGTATACTGTACATAGTTACGTATACTGTAATTGATTACCTATACTGTAATTAGTTACGTATACTGTAATTGGTAACCTATACTGTAATTAGTTACGTATACTGTAATTAGTTACGTATACTGTAACTGGTTACGTATATTGTAAATGGTTACGTTTACTGTACTTGGTAACGTATACTGTAATTGGTTACGTTAACTGTAATTTGTAACGCATACTTTAATTGGTTACGTATACTGTAATTGGTTACGTATACTGTAATTGGTTACGTATACTGTAATTGATTACCTATACTGTCATTATTTACGTATACTATAATTGGTTACGTATGCTGTACCTGATTATATATACTGTAATTGATTACCTATACTGTAATTAGTTACGTGTACAGAAATTGGTTACGGATACTGTACTCAGTTACGTATACTGTACTTGGTTACGTATACTGTAATTGGTTACGTATACTATAATTGGTTACGTATACTGTAATTGGTTAAGTATACTGCAATTGATTACGTTTACTGTAATTGGTTACACATACTATAATTGGTTCCGTATACTGTACTTAGTTACATATACTGTAATTTGTTACCTATACTTTAATTGGTTACACATTCTGTAATTGGTTACGTATACTGTAATTGGTTACGTCAACTGTAATTTGTGACCCATACTTTAAATGGTTACGTATACTGTAAGTAGTTACGTGTACTGTAAATGATTACGTATACTGTTATTTGTTACGTATACTGTAATTGGTTACGTTAACTGTAATTTGTAACACATACTTTAATTAGTTACGTATACTGTAATTAGTTACGTATACTGTAATTGGTTACGTATACAGTAATTGATTACCTATACTGCACTTAGTTACGTATACTGTACCTGATTACGTATACTGTAATTGATTACCTATACTGTAATTAGTTACGTATACTGTAATTAGTTACGTATACTGTAATTCGTTACCTATACTGTAATAAGTTACGTATACTGTAATTGGTTACCTATACTGTAATTACAATGTAGTTACGTATGCTGTACCTGATTACGTGTACTGTAATTAGTTACGTATACTGTAATTGGTTACCTATACTGTAATTAGTTACGTATGCTGTAATTGGTTACCTATACTGTAATTAGTTACGTTTACTATAATTGGTTACGTATACTGTACTTGGTTACGTATACTGTACTTGGTTACGTATACTGTAATTGGTTACGTTTACCATAAATGGTTACGTATTATAATTGGTTACGTATACTGTAATTGGTTACGTATACTGTAATTGGTTACCTATACTGTAATTAGTTACGTTTACTATAATTGGTTACATATACTGTACTTGGTTACGTATACTGTAATTAGTTACGTATACTATAATTGATTACGTATACTGTATTTGATTACCTATACTGTAATTGGTTACGTATACTGTAATTGGTTACGTATACTATACATGTAGTTGGTTACGTATAGTGTAATTGGTTACGTATAGTGTAATTGGTTACGTATACTGTAATTGGTTACGTATACTATAATTGGTTACGTATACTGTAATTGGTTACGTATACTGTAATTGGTTACGTATACTATAATTGGTTACGTATACTGGAATTGATTACCTATACTGTAATTAGTTACGTATACTGTAATTGGTTACGTTTACCATTAATGGTTACGTATTATAATTGGTTACGTATACTGTTATTGGTTACGTATACTGTAATTGGTTACGTATACTATACATGTAGTTGGTTACGTTATTACGTATAAGGTTCAATATGTACAGTACTTCATCCAATTATTATGTAGCTTGGTGCATTTTACCCAACAGATCGTCTGTCGTCTGCTGTTGATGATGTGTCTGAAGTCTCGACATAACATTTCCAAAAGTTATGACCCAGAAAAGTAAACATTAACAGATGAACGGAATGACGGCGGCCATAACATCAACTTGGCTCCAACGCTCGTCACACAATGAGTGGTAGTATAGTGGTATCGAGGCTAGCTACTCGTGTCGCCCTCTACTGTCCTTATCTTTCCATGGAAATGATTTTTATTTTCCGTCGTAAAAGATTCCTAGGTTGGCAAGTCGATTTATATTATCAAATCTGTCTCCTTCAATAACTACAATTGGATTCTATATCAAAAGCTATTTAACTTAAGCGCGAAATGCATAATGGATTACAGCTCCGTGCCGTTAATTAGACACTCTCCAATGGGATTTTCCCGGTTCTTCCCCTCCCACATCCAATAGCAAAGGACCCGCTTACTTTTCCCTAAATCCTCAGCAAATCTGAACGTTAATACAGAACTGCTTGTTGCCTTAGCGTTTCAGCAAGAAAAAATCGTTTATAATACCCAGGAGTTCCAATTTACAGCGGCTTATAACAATGAACGTGTGTTTGTGAATAGAATTAGTGACAAATGTCTGACCAGGCTGACCAGGGGCGACTCGTTCTGGATGATAGAATGTCTCCATAGAAATGTACTTCCCAATAACTAAAGGAACGGTTATTGATGTAATGTTATGTTCTTTCTAATTAAAGCACAGATAGACAAATTGAGTACCGTGATCGATTCACAACTCCATCCAATAAACAGGTAAATCAATCATGGCGGATTACCATTATCAAAACAAAAATGTAATAATTAATTTAAAACATCGTTTTTGTTTTTTTAATCAGCTCAGCTGCACGCACAACTCTGAGTAGGACCAGGTTAGCATAATCGTTTATTATTCATCACATTCATTCTTCCATAAAACCGCTTTCACAACTAAAATACATTATTATTAGTAACATGTTCCATTAAGGTGGCTCGACACATCGTCATCAGCGTCCATTTTCGTGACGTACTTCCGGAAAAAGTACAGCTCGGACTCAATTATCTTGATCGAAATGTGCATGTACACCGTGTCGTCATTTCCGTTTTGCGTATCGGGTATTCAATATCGTAGTGCAAATTATAGTAACACCTGGGCCGTTTGCGTTTAAACGGTCAAAGCGATCGGACCACTGTTGTTCGTTTATTAAATAAG